ATAATTATTCGGGACTGTTTTCCCCTGACAGCCACTTGGTTGTAACGTGGCTCATGCTGTGGCTTTTGAGAAGTCATCATTTGGCAGGGTCAGTTGGAAACGTGGAAAAGTATAGTTTAGGTACATAGTTTAAACTACAATTAGGCATATTTAAATAGAGGCTCTATAAAATAGAGGCATATTTAATAGTGGAAATAGAGGCTATAAAGTATTATAGAAATAAGCCCAAACTCTCTTGCTACAGTGGTTTTGTTATACATTATATAGGAAAATCTACAGCCATTTATTTGTTTTATTGTTTGACTATACTTTTTAACTTTATTTTATTTATTTTGAGACAGAGTCTCACTGTGTCACTCAGGCTAGAGTACAGTCGCACCATCTCGGCTCACCACAACCTCCGCCTCTCAGGTTCAAGCGATTCTCTGGCCTCAGCTTCCCGAACACTAGGATTAGAGGCACCTGCCACCATGCCTGGCTAATGTTTTGTATTTTTAGTAGAGACACGGTTTCACCATGTTGGCCAGGCTGGTCTCGAGTTCCTGACCTCAGGTGATCCACCCACCTTGGCCTCCTAAAGTGCTGGAATTACAGGCAATACCTGTCGCACCCAGCCTGTTTGGCTATACTTTAATTTTGCAATAAATCCTTTTAGCAAACAGTGAGCTCAAAAATTAAGTACCGAATTTTCATATCACAAGAGGTGGAACGTTTAATGTGCACAAAATGTTGCTGCTTACCACCCACCAGTGGTACCATAGTGCTATCTCTGACCATGTAAAAACTATACGGTGCTAATCTATAAGGAAGTACTAGCACCTCCTTCAAAAGTTAGAAGTTATTTTAAGAAAATTCTGGCCGGGCGCAGTGGTTCACCCCTTTAATCCCAGCACTTTGGGAGGCCGAGGCAGGTGGATCACAAGGTCAGGAGTTTGAGACCAGCCTGGCCAATATGGTGAAACCCAGGCCCTACTAAAAATACAAAAATTAGCCAGGTGTGGTGGCAGGTGCCTATAGTCCCAGCTACTCTGGAGGCTGAGGCAGGAGAATCGCCTGAACCTGGGAGGTGGAGGTTGCAGTGAGCCAAGATAGATGCCACTGAACTCCAGCCTGGGTGACAGAGTGAAACTCTGTCTCCAAAAAAAAAAAAAAGAAAGAAAGAAAGAAATTTCTGTCCAAAGATAACAATCTATCAAGTACATTGCAGAGGATATATTTATACATTAGTTTGTAAAGCAGGCTGTTCATTTGATCAAATGATGTTATTTGAAGTTAATTTCTGTCATTTTCAAAAAGTAAAGCAATACATGGAAGCATTGGCTCCATTAGCAGAAGAAAATCTTTTATTTTGTTCAAGTAAGTTTCATCAGATGTTTCCAACTAAAAAGCAGTGTAAGTTTTTCATCTAATTCATGGATAGAATCAAAAATAAGCTTTTAGAAGTTCCCTTTCCCACAGGGAAAATATATAATATGTTGTGAATAAATGCTGTTAAAAATTTAGTTAAGCCTGGGCAACACAGTGAGACTCCAACGCAAAAAAAATTAGTTGGCTGGGCGCAGTGGCTCAGGCCTGTAATCCCAGCACTTTGGGAGGCCGAGGCGGGCAGATCATGAGGTCAGGAGATCGAGACCATGATGAAACCCCGTCTCTACTAAAAAATTAGCCAGGCATGGTGGCGGGCACCTGTAGTCCCAGCTACTCGGGAGGCTGAGGCAGGAAAATGGTGTGAACCCGGAAGGCAGAGCTTGCAGTGAGCCGAGATGGCGCCACCGCACTCCAGCCTGGGCGACAGAGGGAGACTCCGTCTCAAAAAAAAAAAAAAAAAAAAAAAAATTTAGTTAAAATGTGTATCAGGGAAGATTTTCATAGAGTCACGTAAATCAAATTTTGATGAGTCAGAACCCTGGAGTTGGTTAAGACGAATACACATTTTGAGTTTTATTAATGAAGCTGCAATATTCTTCTGTTTAAAATAGCATTTATAGTTACCAAAATTTACAAATTTCCTTTATATAGTTACAACTACAAAATATTTGTGATGAAGCTGCTGACAAATACAAATACGATATGATATTGATGATGTATTGATGGCAGCGCCTGCTTTTCCTCTTTGCTGCCCACGAGCAATTGGAATGCAGCTGTCTGTGCTTTTTTGGAGCACGATTCTAAATCAGCCTAAAAGTTCTATCATGTTATTAACCTTCTTTGAACTGAGTCCTCTAAATTTCAGGTGCATTTTGTTTAAAATCAGTTAGGAATATTTAGTCAAAATATTCGGAGTGAAGCACCCAAAAATTTAATTTTGGAAGCTTTTAGTTACTTGAAATCATTGAAAACAAAATTTGCAAACAGGAAGATATTCGAAGTTCTACGAAACCAAAGGAGAAACTAATTAAACAGCATCAGCTTAATAGTATATAGGACTTAACTTTCTGAAATTCTATAATTGAATTTTGGCATATCTTGATTTGGAGGAAGAATCTTTAGATGGGCTTCCTATTTTTAATTGGATAAATTTATAGGCTATATTAGAATGCAGTGAAACTGGGATGTCCAAAATGTTTGCTGCACAAAAATTTGGTGAAAACTTCAAAAGGATTATTTAAGTAAGTCATTTCATAAGCTTTGTCTGATAAAAGTATTTGGAAAAGAAACACATTGTATGCTGGCAAAAAGATTGTAACTGTGGAAATATTCAGACTGAAATACTTGTACATTTTAATATAAGAAAAAATAGAATTGAGACAGTTCTTCATTTGTCAGAATTTGCTCTGGGCTTACCACATCTCTCAGCTCCTGAAGAATGTTTCCTCCATAAAAATTTCATAGTCTAACAGCAGGAACAGCTACATAATTTGCAGGGCCCAGTGCAAAACGAAAATGCAGGATCCTCTGTTCAAAAACTATAAATAATTTCAAAATGATGACAGTAAAACATCCATCCAAGTGTGTGTCCCTGTGAGTGAGGAGCCCTGCATGGCTGCAGAGGTCACACAGGACCTATAGTCAACAGACAAGAGTCAATTGACCATGATAGTAATTTTACATTTATTGACAATAAAGTGCATTTTATAAAAATGTTCTTAATAAGATCCTATTGAAAAATACCTTATTGAGGAAAAATACCAGTGATGTTTGATAGAGGTAGATTCAGCTAAGGGATGAATTATAGTATATGAATATGCACCAAGAATACTGTCTTAGTAAGCTTAGGCTGCCATACAAAATACCATAGATTAGGCAGCTTAAACAACAGAAATGTATTCGCTCACAGTTTTGGAGGCTGGAAAGTCCAAGATCAGGATGCCAGCACAGTAGGTTTTGGTGACAGCTCTCTTTCTGACTTGTAGACAGCCACCTTCTTACTGTGTTCTCACATGATGGATAGAGATCTCTCTTCTTCTCATAAAGCCACGAATTACGTCAGATTGCAGTCCCATCTTTATTACGTCATTTAACCTAAATTACCTCCTTGTGGGCCCCAACTGTCAACACGATTACATTGGAAGTTAGGGCTTCAACATATGAATTTGTGGAGGGGAGAGGAGCACAATTCATTCCATAGCAAATAATTATTCTGTACTTTTAAAATATTTCAATAGCCAACATATTTTTAAACTTTCTGATTTTAAAAAATAGATGTGTTGAATTTAATCTTTTGGAAAAAAATGTATTTTTAAAGAATATTTGACAAGAGTTATTTTTAGGTCCTCTTTAATAAAAATTGCTCTGGCAGTCAACAATTTTTTTAATTTTTAAAAAATTGACACGTAAAAATTGTATAGACTTTTAATTGTATATGTCATGGTATACGATGTGATGTTTTGATATATGGATACATGGTAGTGAAACGGGAAAAGTTCCCTTGTTCCCCTTGCAGAGTGTGTGCTGGGGTGTGGCTCACTTCTTCAGTGCCCTGCTGCTCCAACCTTTAGGGGAGAGTACAGACAGGCAGGCTATTGGGCTCCAACCCCGGCAGTGCCTAGGGGTGAATGTTCACCCTCCTGAAGCCGCAGTGGGCATGTGTTACAGGATGCTCTTTTAGCCGTCCATAGGCGGCTTGTGTTAACCTTATCGCAAGGACAGAGGGCTTTCTGTATCCCGGGGTTCTTGCCTTGGTGTACGAGAAGAATCAGATCACATGTGGGCTTGGAGAATGAGTGCAAGGTAAGCCTGGCGTCCCAGGCTCTCCTCCGCCTGCCCCAGCCAAACTCCACGTTGTTCTGCCGGCTGATGGCCTGCCTGCATGCCAGTGCCTGTCGGTGCATTCCATTCCTCTCAACGTCCAGCCACTCATGTATTCCTCCACTAATGTGCTCCTCTCGATGTCCAGCCACCTGTGTGTCTGCCTGTTAGGGTCTCAGGGGGTTTTACAGGCACACGGTAGGGGCGTGGCAGGCCAGGGTGGTCTTGAGAAATGCAACATTTGGGTAGGAAAACAAAAATGCCTGTCCTCAACTAGGTCCGTGTGCACAGGCCCAGGGTTGGAGTCCTAGCCAGGGACCACGCCCTTTCCCCCCTCCATGTCATTTAAAGGAAGCACATCCTTCCATATCAGTGGAATGGCTAAAACAAGCTAATTCACATATGCGTTACCTCATCTACATTTTTTTGTGTGATGACAATGTCAGAGTAGGCGGTTAGACGTGAGCAGGGCATGCGAGGGCCCCCAAGAATGTTGGACATTTGTCAAGCCACGGTCTGACAATTATAAATCTGTCCCTCTGAAATAATGAGCAGGACAAGGAGGGGACCCCAGAGCTGTCTGGTTCTCATTGGGACGGGGACAGAAGGGCATAAAACTATCCCTCTAGGGTAATAAGTGGCCCATGACTGGCGCTGGGAATAACAGGAGTCTTGCAACAGACAGAAGACACCTGGAGTGAGCAAGCCACAGTCCCAGACAAGGTTTTGAGCATGTGCAGTAATAGCAAGGGGTGACATTTACCCGGTATATGACTTTCCTCTAGGGGCGCTCGACCAGTAAGGGAGAATTGCGTCTAATGGGCATGCGCACGACTTCAGTAACTCTACTGCGCCTGCGTCTCCTCCCAAACATCCTGCGCCTACTGGCAGGGCTACTGGGCATGCAGTAATTGAGGGACAGCCCGCCCAGGGGAAGAACGAAGAGCAGAGACGGAGAGCCTGGAAAAGGGTAAGGGGTATAAAAATCTAAGCAGGCCGGGGTGGTGGCTCACGCCTGTAATCCCAGCACTTTGGGAGGTCGAGGTGGGTGGATCAGGAGGTCAGGAGATCGAGACCATCCTGGTTAACACGGTGAAACCCTGTCTTTACTAAAAATACAAAAAAATTAGCCGGGCGAGGTGGCACGTGCCTGTAGTCCCAGTTATTCAGGAGACTGAGGCAGGAGAATCGCTTGAACCCTGGAAGCAAAGGTTGCAGTCAGCCAAGATCACGCCACTGCACTCCAACCTGGGCGACAAAGTGAGACTCCGTCCAAAAAAAAAAAAAAATTGAAGCGGAAGAAGCACCTGATTTTTCAGATCTCCTGCTTGACCCTCTTCCAAGCCTACTTTCTCCAATAAACTCTCACATTGCGTAAAATAAACGTTCCCTTGTGCTTTAACCCTTGTCTGTCTCTCATTTGAGTTCTTTCCTTCAGAAGTACAAAGGACCCAGATTGCTGCAAAGTCGCCACTCCCGAGTTCCTCCAGATAGCTGCAGACACACGTCGTTAACAAGAACACTTCAAATCTCTTAGTCATTTTCAAGTATATAATGTGTTGTTTTTAATTATAGCCAACATGATTTATAATAAATAAATTTTTAAAAATAAAACAACCCAAGTTGGGTGTGGTGGCACATGCCAGTAGTCCCAGCTACTTGGGAGGCTGAGGTGGGAAGATTGCTGGAGCCCAGGAATTTGAGGCCAGCCTGGGCAACATAACAAGACCCCATCTCTAAAAGTAAATAAATAAAACCTTAATTGTGTTCATTTTCCCCTTTCATTTTCAGATTTCCCATTTTGGCTACACTTCACATGCAGCACATTATGTGGAAGTACACAGCAGTTCCCCCCTTATCTGCAAAGGACATGTTCAGAGATCTCCAGTGGATGACTGAAACCATGGATAGTACTGAATCCTATATATACAGTGTTTTTTTTTCCCATATATATATGAGATAAAGTTTATAAATTAGGCACCATAAGAGATTAACAACAACTCATAATAAAATATGAGTTAAACTCATATGCAATATAATATATGCAATAAAATTGAAATACGGTCAAACTCTGTAAAGTATTTGAAGAGATTTGTTCTGAGCCAAATGTGGGTGACCATGGCCTGTGACACAGCCTGAGAAGATTCTGAGAACATGTGCCCAAGGTGGTGGTGGTCGGGGGGAGGCTTCCAGGTCATAGGTGGATTCCAAGATTTTCTGGCTGGCAATTGGTTGAAAGTGTATCTAAAGACTTGAAATCAGTAGATGGGAGTGTGTGGGTTAAGATAAGGTGTTGTGGAGACCAAGGGTCTTATTCTGCAGATGAAGCCTCCAGGCTTCAGAGGGCATCTATTGTAAATGTCTCTTTTCAGACTCTCTTGGATCAGGAGAAAGACCCAGAAAGGGAAGGAGATTCTCTACAAAATGTAGATTTTCCCCACGAGAGGCAGCTTTGCAGGGCCATTTCAAAATATGTCAAAGAAATATATTTGGGAGTAAAATAATTTCTTTCAGGGCCTATTATCTGTTATGTTGGTAGCTTATTGCTAGATAGAGTCTGTTTTGTCAGTGTTAAGGTCTGTTTGAATGTAATTGCTGGTCAGCTGTGCCTGAATTCCAAAGGGAGGAAGGTAGAATGAGGCATGTCTGAGCCTCTCCTCCCTATTTCACATCGTGGCCTGAGCTAGTGTTTCAGGTTTACTTTAGAATGCCTTTGGCCGAGAGGAGGGGTCCGTTTGGTTGGGACACTTAGAATTTTATTTTTGGGCCGGGCACAGTGGCTCACGCCTGTAATCCCAACACTTTGGGAGGCCGAGGCGGGCGGATCACCTGAGGTTGGGAGTTCAAGACCAGCCTGACCAACGTGGAGAAACCCTGTCTCTACTAAAAACACAAAATTATCCGGGTGTGGTGGCACATGCCTGTAATCCCAGCTACTCAGGAGGCTGAGGCAGGGAATCACTTGAACCCAGGGCCATTGCACTGCAGCCTGGGCAACAAGAGTGAAACTGTATCTCAAAAAAAAAAAAAAAAAAAAAAAAAAGTATTTTATTTTTGGTTTACAATAAATGCTGTAATAAAAGTTATGTAAATGTAGGCCAGGTGCAGTGGCTCACGCCTGTAATCCTAGCACTTTGGGAGGCTGAGACAGGCAGATCACTTGAGGTCAGGAGTTTGAGACCACCTGGCCAACATGGTAAAACCCCATCTCTAGTAAAAATACAAAAATTAGGCGGGCATGGCGGTGCACCCCTGTAATCCTAGCTACTCAGGAGGCTGAGGCAGGAGAATCGCTTGAACCAGGGAGGCGGAAGTTGCAGTGAGCCGAGATCACGCTGCACTCCAGCCTGGGAGACAAGAGCAAAACTCCGTCTCAAAAAAAGAAGTTATGTAAATATGATCTCTCTCTCCTTCTCTCTCTCACACACACACAGAACTGTACTCACCTATTTTTGGACCATGGGTAACTGAAACACTGGAAAGTGAAACCTTCAATAACTGGTAACTACTGTGTAGGTGCCATGTAGGGTTTGTGGAGTCCTAATAATGAAAAAGGAGTCAGGCTGGCAGGACCAGGGGAAAGCAAAGAGAGAAGGCAGATAAGCTGTAGGTTCACTTTTCTTTATGGCCCAGGACATACGGTCCTCCTGCGCAAATAATGTACATAACTCACAAACGTCCTGCTTATCATCAAGCACTTCAACTTATCATCAAACACCTCTGCTGACAGAAGAACACAAACAAGCTGCCTACTGCCTTGGTGTTATCAGTCAGCCCGAGAACCATCCTCCAAAGCCCTCAGCAAGCCTTTGTTCCCTGCACTCAGCTCCTCTCCTGCTGATTCTGCTCATTTCGACCTTGCGATGCATATCCCACTTTCTCTAATAAATCTGCCTTTGTTTACCTACAACTGTCTTGGGAAATTCTTTTACCCCAGCACCAGTGGCCCTGAAAGGTGCTGCTTACCCGCGACAGGGTTCGCATACTGAAACAAACACAAGCTCTGACTATGTTTTCAGAAAAAAAATCGCAGGTTGTTCTTTAATCAGATTTCCGCTGAGCGCTTATCTGTTTCCTCTAAGAATAAGGGGGAGAGGAAGTGTTATTTCTAAAAAGGATATTTTAAATGACCTCCAAGTTCACTGAGAAGCCATAGCACTTCCTTTCAACTTTAATTTCCCTTTGTGGCCCCTTACCTTTTAGCAAAGTCACATGAGTGTGCATCTGGCTGCCCTGTGCACAGAGACAGGGGCTGGGGGCAAGCATGGGAGGGCCTGAGAAGCTAACTCCCCAGCTGCCCTTGACCACCAGCAGGGTGTATTGTAAGAGCTAAATTAGGAGGTTCTGGGTTTTAATTAAGAAAGGAGAAATTGGCTGGGCACAGTGGCCCACTCCTGTAATCTCAGCACCTTGGGAGGCCAAGGTGGGTGGATCACTTCAGGCAAGGAGTTTGAGACCAGCCTGGCCAACATGGTGAAACCCTGTCTCTACAAAAACAATAAAAAATGAGCCGGGCGTGGTGGCACAGGCCTGTAATCCCAGCTACTACTTAGGAGGCTGAGGCACAAGAATCACTTGAACCTGGGAGGTGGAGGTTGCAGTGAGCTAAGGTCACACTAGGGAAGGAGACCACTACTACTCCTGCTGCCCTCCTCCCCCAACCTTGCCTAGTTCACAAGACAGGAGGAAAGAGAGAAAGAAACAAAAGTAAGATAAATAGCCAGACAACCTTGGCACCGCCACCCGGCCCTAGGAGTTAAACAAAGTAATAATAATAACATCAACCCCAGCCTAAACTACTTGTGTTATCTGTAAATTCCAGACCCTGTATGAAAAAAGCATCGTAAAACTTTCTGTTCTGTTAGCGGATGCATGTAGGCCCCAGTCACGTTTCCCACGCTTGCTCGATTTATCACGACCCTTTCACGCGGACCCCTTAAAGTTGTAAGCCTTTAAAAAGGCCAAGTATTTCTTTTTCGGGGAGCTCAGTTCTTAAGATGCGAGTCTGCTGACGCTCCCGGCCAAATAAAAAACCTCTTCCTTCTTTAATCCGGTGTCTGAGGAGTTTTGTCTACGGCTTGTCCTGCTACGGCACCACTGCACTCCAGCCTGGGTGACAGAGTGAGACTCCGACTCGAAAAAAAGAAAAAAGAAAAAAAAAGAAAGAGGATATTTTACTAGAAACATGCATAAAGTTACCAGGTTTTCAAGTTTGCCAAAAATTGAACTTGAACTTGCATGCATGGCCAGATGAAACGGCCAGAATAGACACAATTACTGGCCTAATGGCTGGCCTGTCCTTCCAGAAAGTCTCCAAAAATGACACAGAAAAGTGAACTCCAACTTCACTCTTTCATTTATTCTTTTCTTTAAGGTATAGTTTTCTGTCCCAAGTGTATAATTTTATAGTCGTGAAATTCAAGAATAATGGTAACATAATTGCCCTTGATTCTATAAAAGTATCTAAATGACTGAAAGAAAAGATTAGACTAAGAACACTTTTGTAAGGATAAAAAAATTCATCCAAACTTTTGTCTGCAGATTAAAAACAACAATAATAGAGCTGATATCCACCTCAAAAGGTTGCTTTGGAAATGTAATTTTACTCAGTGTATGTAAAGCCCTTTGCATTTGGCAGGGCTGAGTGAAAAAACAACCCTATCAATTAATGGGACTGTGGCTTGTGTCTATCGGCTGCCGTGTTCTCCTTTAGAATGAGAGAGCTATTTCTGCATCAAGGGATATGACCCTATGATCTTGTTTCTTTATTCTATAATGGAACAGATGGCATGCATTTTATCACGCTGCATCCACTTCATATTCCTGGGTTAAGCTTACTTCCCATACATAATTCCCTTCCCATACATAATTTCCAAACACAACCTTATCAAGGTTGTGCTCATCAATATACAATGAACTAAAGAATGTTTCCTCCCTTTTACTTCTTGCATCTGTTAAGATTGGAATGATTTGTGTCCTGAGAGCCACACACAGTATCCATGTGGGAACTAGATGTGTGCCCTGTTCATCTAGATGCAAACGGTCTCAGTGCGGGAGTGAATAGAAGCAAGGCCCAGTGTGTGTGCAACCTAGGCGGGCCTGAGCCAGTGATTCCATTTTCCTTCCCTGAGACTATCCACCGCAGCTTCAGGAGGAACACTACGAGGTCCAAGTCCCTTACTGAAGATGAGTGCATCCAAGGATCCCACCACCATCTGCATGACCACGGTCAGCCGCCTGGCCGAGCTCAGAGGGCCATCCAGCCCAGGACCATGCCTGCACAGACTGGCGAAGGCTAAGTCCTTTCAGGGAGAGTGAACTGAAATGAGAAAAACAGCTTGAACCCAGGGGAGAGAAGGGTAAGGGTGAGAGCCATATGAGGAAGAGCAGGTGAGGATGCAGTGAGTGGCAGAGAAAGAACAGATCTCCCCTTGCACAAACAATCCCACAGGATTTGCATATAATAGAAACCCTTACTTCCCTGTACACAATTTAAAAATATTTTTCTGGCCAGGCACGGTGGCTCACACTTGTAACCCCAGAACTTTGGGAGGCTGACGCAGGAGGATCATTTGAAGTCAGGAGTTTTAGACCAGCCTGGCCAACAGGGCGAAACCCCATCGCTACTAAAAAAAATACAAAAATTAGCTGGGCGTGGCATGCCTGTAACCCCAGCTACTCGGGAGGCTGAGGCACGAGCATCGCTTGAACCCAGGAGGCAGAGGTTGCAGTGAGCCAAGATTGAATCATGGCACTCCAGCCCACATAATGAAGCGAGACTGTGTCTCTAAACAAATGAATAAATAAATAAAATATTTTTCTGATTATCCAAGAACACATGTTCACGATGGAAAATTTTAAAATTAAACAAAAATCCCCCCAAGGCCTTCTTGTGCCATTTCCTAAAAGATGTAGAGGCATTACTCAGACGGTTGTGCCTTTCACTGTATCTTAAAGTGACAGAAAACCCTTCAAAGGTGATGTCACCACAGCTAAGGGGCGGTAACTCAGCGGGGACCAGGGAGCCTTCCAGAGCAGGATGTGTGGTGTTGGTTGTTCTCTTCCCCTG